TTAAAATTTAAAATAATAATAGTGGACATGATTTAATAAATATATATTTATTTACAATAACTCACAATACACTATTTCACAATAATACTGCTTTACTGTAGTTACATAACTCAATAAGCATAATATTATACTACATAAAATTTCCTATGACTAATTAGAGAAGAAAAACTATATACATTTAAATTATTTCAATACATTAAAATATTATATATATATATATATATATATATATATATATATATATATATATATATATATATATTTCTTTTTCTTTTTTTTATGAAATGTATAAAATGACTTATATACAGTTAAAATCAGAATCATTAGACCCTCTTTAATTCTTTTCTTTTTTTAATATTCCCAAATTATGTTTAACAGTGCATGGAAATTTTCACAGTATTCATTCATTTATCTTCTTTTCAGCTTAGTCCCTTTATTAATCTAGGGTCGACACAGCGGAATTAACCACCAACTATTCCAGTATGTGTTTTACGCAGCGCATGCCCTTACAGCTGCAACCCATCTTTGGGAAATTTTCACAGTATGTTTGATAATATTTTTTTTCTTCTGGAGAAAGTCTGATTTGTTTTATTTTGGCTAGAATAAAAGCATTTTAAACATGCCTAATCAAACTAATTGAGTGCTTTAGGCTTGTTTACAGATATGTGTTGAAGCAGAGCTGGAATTAACTCTGTAGGGCTCCGGCGGTTCTAAGAGTTGACTTTGACACCCCTGCACTACATTGAACATGTACACAGAGACGTCAACTACTGTATACTATATAACTGCAGGTTAACTATGTTCATATATAATAACTTTAATTGTTAAAGTTATTAGTTAATTAGCTAAAATTATAAGTAACTATCAAAGTTACGGTAACTAACCTTAACTTTTCTGATTTTGACTGTAATGCAATAGTGTGCACTTTGCGTAAAGCTGCTTTGAAACAATAATTATTGTGAAAAGCACTATACAAATGAACTTGAATTGAATATATATTTAAACTACTCAAAGCTTATTTAGAAGCATTTAGCCTCTGACAGCCTCAGACAGACAGGTTTCATTAGAGCCACACACCTTCAGTCTTGCAGAAAGAGCTCAAACAGTTGTCAGAACACAAAGACTCGCACAGAAACAATTCATACAGAGTGTCAGTGATGGAGATGTAATTCAATGCCATTCTTTGAATTCATACTGTCCGCAGTGATACGGGGCTCTGCCACCACGACAAGTCTCAACACTGCAAAGTTCAAACAGCTCTTTTCATTTTCTCAAGCAAGGCTTTGTTTGCAGATCAAGCCTATCTTCTTTTTTTTTTTTAACCTAAGTGCAGCTTTAACATTTAACAGGCGGATTAAAAGCCCAAATCCAGGCACTGGCACTCAGGGAGAGCAGAGCTGAGCACCGATATCATGCACATGTGGAGTGTTTTACCATTTTAAGTGGAAGAAAGAAAACTACAAGGAAAGTACTGTTCTCGGAAAGCCCCACACATTAAAGTCTAACAAGTTTTAGTATTAAAGTATTTTTGAACAAGACTGCAATAGTTGGACTGATATACATAAATAAAATATACAGTTTAAGTCAGAATTATTAGACCCCCCCATGATGACAGTAAATAATATTTGACTAGATATTTTTCAAGATAATAGTATTCAGCTCAAAGTGACACTTAATTGTTTAACTAGGTTAATTAGGTTAACTAGGTTGGGTTAATTAGGCAAGTTATTGTATAATGATGGTTTGTTCTGTTGAATATCAAAAAAAAAAAGCTTAAAGCTAATATATATATAGCTTATAGCTTAATAATTTTGACCATAAATTTATTTTTAAAATAAAAATTGTTTTTATTCTAGCTGAAATAAAACAAATCAGACTTTCTCCAGAAGAAAAAATATTATCAGACATACTGTCAAAATTTCCTTGCTTTGTTAAACATCATTTGGAAAATATCTAAAAAAGTCAAAAGGCTAATGATTCTGACTTCAACTGTATATTTATAATGACTTGGACAATAAATATAAAAAGCTACTTGTGCTATCTTCCAACATCTTCTGTAGTTTGTAATGTGAAAGATTTATAGAAAAGTTGCTAACAAAAAAAAAAAAAACTTTTAAAAGAAAACTTTCCCTGCATTTTTTATCAAAATAAATTATCTATGGTCAACGTAAACTAAAGAAAAACCTTCATAAATATTAGTGTTGTCATTTAACTACTGTATAAATATATGTACTATTAGTCATATTAAAATTTTACAGGTCAACAATATCAAAGAGATATATGATTGTTAATTAATTTTAGAATGTAATTAAATATTAATGATACATATAAAATAAAAGGATTTTAATTGGATGTATTGACCTTATTCTTCACGTACAAGCAGGCGCAGCCATTTGAATCTTTTTGGCTCAAGATTTCCGTTCTCATTCACTTCCATTCATCTTGTTTTGCTGCTTGATGTTGCAAACTGATATTTTCTTATTTTATTATTCTACTTTGTTTGTATAATGATGCAAACACGAGGTTGTAGAGCAAGTAGTTTGACAGTTTTCTGCTGTTTATTATTCCTAGTCATTTCTTCCCCAGGCCACTGAATTGGAAGTTCTAAAATAATCGCAAAGACGAGGGCACTTCTGCATTAAAGAATAAGGTCAATTGGCCCAATTTGTTAAGCCTATTGTCTTATTTGTTTGTTTTTATTATCATCATCATCATCATCATCATCATTATTATTATTATTATTATTATTATTATTATTATTATTATTATTATTATTATTTAGTAAATAATCCACATACAATTGGTATTGGTTTTACAATCATGGTCTGTAACTTTTTTCCCAGGTTGCCAAACACTGTTGAAAAATCTGGAAATTAAATTATATAAAAATAAATAAATAAATAAATAATATAGAATAATTGTAAATAATGCAATAAATATTATAAATTTTGAAAAGTGTAGCTAATCTTTATATATTTTACTAAGTACTAGTCAGAATATTTTTACATACAGTAAATATATCTGTTCACTACATAATAACAGAATATTATTTCCCACATATTTTGATGAAATAATTTTCACAAAAACTATTTAAAACTATTTAAAAGCAACACTTGCATGTATTATGTGCTTCCTATGTATAAAACAATAGAGACACCAAAATGGGATGATAAGTCTATTCTTCATGTCTATACATTAACACTCAGTCACTTTCCTTAGCCATATGGGACTCAAATATTTTTTTTTTCCATTTGCTTCCTGCCTCCCTGAGAGTGCATTTACTCATGCATCCCAATGCTGAAAACCCCCATACACTCAAACATTCGCACATATTCCACACAATGTCCAATTTAGATTATTCAGTTCATCTATACAGTAGCATACCTAGGGAACTGGGCAGTTCCACAGCACAAGAAGAAAACAATGTGAACATGGGGAGAACATGCAAACTCAATAAGCCAGGACTCAAACCAGCAACCTTATTGCTGTGAGGCGACAGTGTAAACGATGCACATGCCTACATTCAATGTGTGTCATTTTTGCAATTCTTGCCATAGCATAAACTGCTTTTCAATTTGTCTTGTGTTGCTGACACGTCAAGTATGATAGGTAAACAGAGGCTTTTCTTCAAGCACGTCTAGAAAGTAAGACCTGAGGGCAATATAAAGCTGGGTAATTTCTGGATTAGTGTGATTGTGTGAGTACGCCACACCCCTCGGCTGAGCGCATGATTGTTTCCTATTCAGAACAACATACCACACGTCATGCGCAGGCTGTTGTTGTCACCTTCCTATCTGTGCATTATTATCCCAGAGCAAAGTCACAGTAATGGCAGAGCGATTGAGAGATAAGAGAGCATTTACAGCCTGCGCTTTCTCTCCTGCTGCATGAGGCCCGAGTACAGGATCGTGATGGTTTTATAACTCTGAGTGTGTCTGTGTGTGTGTGTGTGTGTATGTGTGTGTGTGTGTGTGTATGTGTGTGTGTGTGTATGTGTGTGTGTGTGTGTGTGTGTGTGTGTATGTGTGTGTGTGTGTGTGTGTGTGTGTGTGTGTGTGTGTGTGTGTGTGTGTGTGTGTGTGTGTGTGTGTGTGTGTGTGTGTGTGTGAGGCCTGAGCATCTGCACACTCAAAAAACTCTATAGTGATTACAATGACGTCACAATATCTGTGCATTTGGATTTATGGATAACAATTTATTGCACATTTCCAATTCTGAAACATTTGGGACTTTTTAGATAAAATAAAAGGAAATCAAAATGCAATTGCTTAAAGGGATAGTTTCAAACCTCTATGAGCTTCTTTCTTCGATTAAACACAAAATGAAATATTTTGACAAATGTTAATAACCTGTAATCATTGACTTACATGGGATTTGTTTTTCCTGTGGAGTCAATGGTCACAGGTTTTCAGCCTGTTTACAATGTCTTCTTACGTGTTCAGCAGAGGAAGGAAACCCAAGGTTTAGAACCACTTTAGGGTGAGTAAATAGTTAATTTTAATTTTTAGTTGAACTATCTCTTTGATTCTCCAAAAGAATTCTAGTGTTTTCACTGACAAAACCAAATGTTTTTGGGATGAAACCCTAATGTATTACCAGTTCATCTGCTTATTGTGGACTGTTTAAAAGCTGTTTAATTTGGATATTCTATAATATTTTCTATTTTCCAATTTATTTAGCCTCTGACCCACATTTTGGCTTATGTTGCAGCCATTAAAATCCAAATGTGTCTTTATTTACAGAACACAATTCATTTAGTCAGTGAAAACTATTAAACTCTACTCTTTGTACTGTTGTCAATTTATTAGAGGTTTAAAATAAAGTCAAATTTTCTAGATTTTATCTTTTGTCAGAATTGAGTTTGTGTGTATTTAATATAATAGCCGACTTTGAAAGCAGATCCTTTCAAAAACAAGTTTCCTTTAGGAATTTATTGTTGCAAACAAAAGACAAAGTGTATGACGCTATATAGAACAAATCAATAAATGATCCCATCTTACCTCTTTCCCGCAGGTTACGAAACAGACGAGATGATCCTTTCCACACAGGTGGCGTATCTGACAGAATCTTGTCCAGTTCCTTTTAAAAGAATGTGAGAGTGAGATTTTCTGAAATCAGAAGTAGATAATTAACAATTTAACCAAATATACAAGTTGTTATCAAACCTGTTTTGTGAGGGATTTCCAAAACCTCTTTTCTAAAAAAATAAAGCAAAAACAGATACTTTCATTTATGGTCAGGTACATTTAAAACAGCAGTCATTTCAATGATTTTAGCCAGCTATAATGGTTTATCTTAGAGCTGCATGATATTGGAAAAATCCCAGCCAAATTTTGTTTACTACAACATAATGTGATTTTAATACAACTTCACCAGATGGCATGAATACAGATATTTGGAAAGAATTGTGTAGGTTAGTGAATCATGCATAAATTTTAATAAACCAATTACAAGCATAGACAAAAAACAGTGCATGAAATAAAAAGTATTCTATGGTCGTCTGCAGAGTGAAACAGTATTCAGGAGGTACAGAAATTGAATAATCAAATGTAAAATAAAACTGTCTCGTTATTGTACAAATAATCCAACAAAATGAATGGTAAATAAAATATTCAAGCAGTAAAATTTCTGAATGCTTTAAACTATCTTGAATTGCTCACCCTGTCACATGTCTTAAAAACAGAATCTATTTAAAAACGTTTACTTCATTATTGTTAAACTCCACAAATTTCTTATCTTCTCAACTATGAACTGTGGCTTCTGGTCAACTCGACATTACACATAGTGTACTGTGTTGTGACTTGCAGATGCATGCAAATGTCTTAATGTGAATATTTTTCTAAATAAAAATCATTAATTTATCAATCCATCAGATTAATTTAATGAGGATAAATGTACTTGTAATTACAATCCTTAGTTATTATTTATTATATTTATTACACTATTTAAAAAAGATACACTTACTGTAATATTAAATAAAGGCATAAACAGCGAGGATGGCTTTAGAGTAAGTGAATAATGGAATAATTTTCATTTTTGAGCGAATTGTTCCATTAACAGCAATTTCCCACTTTCATTGATTTTCGTTTCGCCTTAGTCCCCTTATTAATCAGGGGTCGCCACAGCGTAATGAACCGACAACTTATTCAGCATTTGTTTTACACAGTGGATGCCCATCCAGCTGCATTTTAGACTGGGAAACACCCATACACTCTCGCATTCACAGACATACTCTACGGTCAATTTAGCTTATTAAATTCACCTATACCACATGTATTTTTTGGGGGACCCCGGAGCACCCAGAGGAAACCCACATGAACACACAAAAACACCAACTGACCCAGCCAGGGCTCAAACTTGCAACTTTATTGCTATGAGGTAACAATGCTACCCACTGAGCCACAGACCGCCAATTTCCCACTTTTGGCTATTCAAATTATAGCATTATTTAGAAACATTAGAAAATCAGTTTTGTTCATTTAGTAGAGTGTCATTCAGGTTAAAAATGCTTCAAATGAATGCCCCTGTTTTCTCTTTCTCATTAGCTTGACCATATTGTACCTGCACACAGTCATACCAGCTCTTTTACATATCTGCAGAAAATGCAAGTGATAGGTTTAGGGATGGGTGTAATTATAAATGTAATTACATGCAAGTATTTAATCAAGTATAAGTACAATATGAAAACATGTATTTGCACAATAGGTACATTGTAACAAATTATAAATTTCAGTGCAAGTTTTAGTAGTCATTTAGTCATTTAGTAGTACATTTAGTAAAACCACTTAATATAAAGTGGGAGTAAACGATAATCATCAAAATAGTTTTTACTGTACAAATCAAAACAATAATAAGTTTAAATGACAAGCTTCTGTTTATAAAACGAACTCAAAGTCAGTTTTACAGCCACCGCATAAAACCATAAATACCACTATTCGTACCGTCACGCATATGCCATTAAAAGTCAGTGATGCAATGTTTTCCCTCCATACTAGAGTTCACATTTTATTCTCGTCTGCACATTCCAAGAGGTCCAAGTTTCATATAGCAGCAAACATGACTGGTTGAAACTCAACTCCCATACAAGTATAGCTGGGTCGTGAAAAAACAGAGCATATCAACTCTACCATCTGGGCTGTATATTTCAGACTCCATATTTTTCCGTTTAGCAGATTCGCTGTATCTGACACACACTTTTAAATCTTGTCAGTCTAGCGGCTTTCAGATTTTGGTTACAGAAATAGGTCATAAGTGTGATGCTGGCAGAAAGAGATGAGTATCTTCATGCAGGTGTTACAACTATAAATGTTGTTTTTTATGCCTGCTGGGTAATTTGCTTTTAAGATTAAAGCATTAAAGGCAAATTTCTGTAATAAAGGTACAGATCACCCAAACATTATATTCATGGCATTCAAGTCATGCTGTTTGAAATCCTAAAAAAAGGAAAAAAAGAAAGGTAAAGAATACACTGTTCCTATACTGCCGTATACATCTGATTTTGATAATTATTCAGTAGTAATGGTTTACAAAACACTGCTGTAAATGATTTGTTCATCAGTTATTCTTTATTATTGTGCTTATGAACATAATATGTCATTCAGGTTGAAAATATACTGTTATTATGAAGCTAAATCATTAGTAATATTTACTTTACACTTGCAGAGTGTGAGTTTAGGTTTGCTTTCTTAAGAATAATAATAGCTTTTAAATCTATCACACGACCAGCTCCAAAAAGAACTGAATTAAGCAAAGCAGACTGTGATTCACTTTAAATGCAGATTGAATATTTAAATGCATTTTTTTTACAGATGTTATTGCTTTACTGAACATAAATCTGCTTCATCTCCTTAAAGTCAGAAGGAAACTACACAAAATTGATATCACCAGTTAGAACACACTAATTCATAAGCAATTACTAAATAATCAATTTCTCTGTTCAGATAATTTCTTAAGGAATAAGTCATTCAAATTAATTTTAAGTTTACTCAATTAAGTTTTATAAATATTTAAAATCGCAAATATTGCAGGTTAGATTTGTGATATGTTCAATTGGTAATTTTGTCATCTTTAACAACTTACTGGTTTTTACAAATTTCACAAAGAAGCAAAAAGTCTACCTTTAAAATTTAAAGTAATAGAGATTTGACTTTACAACAAAATCAGTCCAGTCCAGTAACAGTGTTAACCTGATGAAGGCAGTTGTTTGCCAAAATGCATAGGCGCAGTTTTAAGGAATAGCCATGTCAGTAAAGGCTGTTTAATATTTTTTCCACATTTTCAAGTGCCTTGGACTGATTTTTGTTGTTTGTTTGGATGAATCCCTTAACCAAAGAGCACAGACACATAATTGAGCACTTTTTGTTTGATTTTAGAGATTTGACTTTGTTAGATTTGATAATTTCATGATGTAATGATTATGACTGGTATGAAACATTTTTAGCATAACTTTTTAGCCCAGTATCGCCAGTACATGTGACCCTGGAACACAAAACAAGTTGCACTGCTATATATTTGCCAATAGCCAGAAAAATATTGTGGCTCAAAATGACATATTTTTATTTTATTCCAAACATCATTAGAATATTAGGTAAAATGATAAGATAAATCAAAACTCTAATTAGTAATGTGCATTGCCAAGCACTTTATTTGAATAATTTAAAAACAACTTTCTCAGTATTTAGATTTTTTTAAAACCCTTAGATTCCAGATATTCATATAGTTGTATCTCAGAAAAATATTTTCTTTTTAGCATAGTTTTAGTGTACACACGTTTATTCAGCTTTCAAAAAATTGACACTTATTCCTGGTTTTGTGGTAAATAGTCACATATTCTGTAAAAGAGGAAGATGAACTGTTTGTGTGACTCACTCTTCGGTTCGCTCATAGTGACGGACTCAATGAAGTCAAGGGGAGTCATGTAGAGCTGTCCATCAAACTCCACTGAGCTGAAGAGCCTGAACCTGTGCTCGTGTGCAGACAACGACACCTCATCTTCACCAGATGCACTGGCCTATGAACAAACAAATCCAAAACTCACTTTTGTGTCATTAAAGAAAGAGTGAAGCATCTTCTCATTCTTTCCATCTTTCAGTTGAAGGCTTTTTGTGCAAAAACATGCACATAAGCAGAAATATCCAGGGCTAATCTTACGAGGACTGTGTTCTTCTCGCTCTACACTGGCCGACAGCCAGGCCCACTGGGCACTGTGCAAACACCCTGGGAATGTGTTCCCTGCTACTTATTACCCCCATCAAACGTTCACCCGACTGCCAAGCTGCCGTGTCCAGTTACCTCAACCCTGAATTC